AAGATAAAACCACTTGTCCATAAAACCATTATCGAAAAATTCAAGATCAGAGTATCGTTAAAAATTATCATGGACGTCTCAAAATATAAAAGTTATTAATGTGTGTGTACAGTCACGCCTTTGCCTTCCCTCTATCAGAAGAAGTACTTGAAAACATTTAATCCACAAGTGTAAGCCAAAACTTAGTGAGTTCCCCTAAATACCACATACCACAATACACATACAATGCATATAAGGAATGGCCTTCAGCATATAACTGGTTCGCACTTGGTCTTTAGCTTATAGTTGGTCTGCCCTTAGGCTTCATCTTATAACTGGTCTGCCCCTAGGTATCTTGGCCTTCTGCTAATAGCTGGTCCGCCCTCAACCCCCATATATAATATGTCAACATATACAAACAACAAATAAAATGAATTACATATTGAAAATCGGGAAAATAAGTGTTACAATTCTCCCCCACTTGAATTAGATTTCGTCCTTAAGATCTGTTACTACAAATAGCTCAGGATAATGTTCCTGCATCTCCTCCTCACGCTCCAACATCCACTAAAAACCATTTCAGTGTTGCCATTGCACCTTAACCAAACTAACACCTTGTTACGTAAGGTCTTCATTTTCTTATCAAGTATCTTAATCCGTCTTTCCATATAATTCAAGCGTTTGTACACCTGAATATCATCCAAAGGTACCATAGAAGTTGTGTCCATAATGCACTTCCTCAACTTTGACATATGTTGGATCTGTCTAAGCTCTTGGGGCAGATCCAAGTAGTAGGCAACGTTTCCATTCTTCCAAAATCGGATAACACCTTTCCAAGGTGACACCTTCAGAAGTACAAAATCCCAGACTTGGAACTCAAGATCAAACCTGAATATTAAAAATGATGCAAGAGTTGTTCACCCAGCTTCAGGAGCTGTTAGACAACGTGTTTATTCAGCCGAGTAGTCCGCCTTGGGGATCACCTATCTTGTTTGCCAAGATGAAGGATGAGACGCACCAGAAGTGCATCAACTATCGGGAGCTGAACAAGATGACATTGAAGAAGCGTTACCCACTTCCAAGATTGATTTGAGACCGGGTTACCACCAGATGAAAGTCAGGGATGATATACGGAAGACGAACTTCAGGAATTATTATGGGCATTACGAGTTCATGGTGATGCTATTTGGGCTCACCAACACACTGAAAATGTTCATGTACCTCATGAACCGGGTGTATAGGCCGATGTTCGATAAGTCAGTGATAATGTTTATCGTTGATATATTGATCTATTCTAAGACCAAGGAGCAATATGAAGGTCATCTGCGTGAGATTCTTGAAAATATGAGGAGGGAGATACTTTATGCAAAATTCTCTAAGTGTGAGTTTTGGTTGCGTGAGGTCCAACTCTTGGGGAACCTCGTTAACCAAAATAGTATCTTAGTCCATCTGATTAAGATCGAGGTAATGATGCAGTGGGAGGTTACGAGGTCTCCATCTGATATTTGGAGTTGCCTTGGTTTGGCTAGGTATTATCGGAGGTTCATCCACGATTTCTCGAAGATAGCGGTACCTCTGACTCTTTTGATGAAGAAGACTGTTGCTTTTTCTTTGGGGGCATGAGTTGCAGACATTATTTGAGAATTTGAAGCAGAAGTTGTGTGAGGAGCCAATTTTGACCCTTCCTGAGGGTGTTGAGGATTTTGTGGTCTATTGTGATGCTTCGATTACAGGGTTGTAAGCTGTACTCGTGCAGCGGGGTCGAGTCATTGCATATGCTTCAAGGCAGTTAAAGCCTTGCGAGGCTAATTAAATGACTCACAATTTGGAGTTGGGGGGCAGTGGTATTTGCTCTCATGATTTGGTGTCACTATTGTTTGGGATTTGGTGTATCATCTACATGAACCAAAAGAGTTTTAGATACTTGATGGATCAACCAAATCTGAATATGAGGCAACATAGGTGACTCGATGTAGTAAAGGATTATGATTGTGAGATATTGTACCATTTGTGTAAGACCAATGTGGTGACCGATGCCTTGAGTCAGGGTGACTAGTGCTCCTATTAGCGACTTATGTTTGAGGATGACTGTTGTCATACCACTGTTGGAATTGATCAAGGGAGCACAAATAGAGGCAATCAAGGAAGAGAATCGGAAAAGTGAAAGGGTAGTTGGTTAGGTTTCCGCTTTTGATATTGATAGCCTAGGTATGTTGAACCTCCATGGTATGGTATGGGTTCCTTATTCGGGAGGGACTCAGAAAACATTAATGGATGAGGCTTATAAGTTCAAGTTCTCGATTCTTCCAGGGGTGACGAGAATTTACATGGATTTGAGACAGAATTATGGGTGACCCTGCATGAAGTGGGACGTGGCTTGGTATGTTGAGAGATATTTGACCTGTAGGAAGGTTAAGGCAGAGCATCAGAAGCCTCACGAAAAGCTGCAACCTTTGGACATCCCATTGTGGAAGTGGGAACATATTACTACGAATTTTATTACCAAGCTTCCGAAGAGTGCTTGTCGTTTGGACACTATTTGGGTCATCGTGGATCGATTGACCAATAATGCCTACTTGATTGTCATTCAGGAGAGTTCTTCGGCGAAGAAGCTGGCAGATATTTATGTTCGTGAGATAGTTTCTCGCCTTGGAGTACCAATTTCGGTAGTTTCTGACAGAGATGTGAGGTTTTACTTCCAGATTTTGGAAGCAGTTCCATGAGGATTTGGGTATTTGACTTCATTTCAGTACAAATTATCATCCTCAATCCGACGTGCATAGTGAGAAGACCATTCAAACACTCGAGTATTTGTTGAGGGCTTGTATTATTGAATTTGGTAGGAGTTGGGATACTTATCTTACTTTGGAAGAGTTTTCTTTGAACAACAACTACCATTCTAGCATCAATGTTCCTCCCTTCGAGCTTCTTTATGGGAGGAAGTGTCGAAATCCGATCTATAACATCCCGATTTTCAAGTATTTACCTTTTAACCCCTATTAGTATGAGAATGGACTGCATTTTGGCCCTTAGTGGCATTTTCATAAAATCAGGCCAAGGCTTGGTACACTGGGTGTACGTTGTGTACGCTCGGCATACATGTGCGAGCCTTAGTATGCTGGACGTACACCACGTATGCAGGGCGTACGTGAAGGACCCTCAAACCCTAATTTTTAGGGTTTGGTCCATATATAAATATCATTAACTCCTCATTTCTCATTCCCTCTCCAGCCTCCATTTGCCATTTCGTCCATCTAGAACCTTAATCCACCTTGAGAGTGTTCTTGAGCTTTTATGGGTACTTTTGGTTGTTAGCCTTGAAGTTGTGAACATTTTGGTCCCATTAGTTTGACATTTTGAGTATGGGCTACTCTAAGTCATTTGAGCCGTCCTTTTGGACATTTCAGAGTATTGTTGTGCATAAAAATATGATCTTGAGTGTTGTATGTAACCCATGCATGTGTTAGATGGTCTTATTGGCTTAAGAACTTAGGGTTTTGGACATTAAGCACTTTATAGCATTGAGAGGGAGATTACAGATTCATTTTCTATAGATAAATTTAGAGTAAGTTACACAAATGGTCCCTATGGTTTAGGGTAATTTGCACGTTTGATCCCTAACTTATTTTTTTAACTCGGAAGGTCCCTACTGTTTGTTTTTGTTATGCGCTTGGTCCCTGTCTTACCTAAAAAGATTATTTTGCCCTTGATTTTTTAATTTATTTAAATAAACGCAACCCTAACACCATCTCCCTCACCTTACCTTATCTACCCCACCACTTTTCCCTATTTAAATAATAGTATTTTTAGGTAACAGAAGGACCAAACACGTAACAAAAACAAACAGTAGGGACCAAGTGTGTAACAAAAACAAACAGTAGGGACCTTCCGTGTTAAAAAAAATAAGTTAGGGACCAAACGTGAAAATTACCCCAAACCATAGGGACCTTCATAGATGATTTTTCTTCTATGAAGCAAAGACAACACAACTTAAAGTGAGCAAGGTACTACTTATACTTTTACAAAAAATTTAATTGTATTCTTCTAAATTGAGCATAATACCATATGTATCTATGTTCTAACTTGTTCTTTTTAATAATAACAAGTTAACGTATGAGATTGATTCTTATGATCATTGGGAAACTTTTGAAGATTGATTCATGCAAAGATTGATGCAGTTCATATTTAGACGATTTTTTTCTTTAATCAGTATCTCTTTCAATTTTACAGACTTGATTATGTTATTCAATTTTTTTTAAATATATATAAACCCCCTTATCCTAAAATCCCGGCTCCACCCCTGGATATAAGAGTAGAAGCTGGTGGATGCTATAGGGTACGAGTCGTTTGTACTAAGAAGGTGGAAGTCGGAGCCGATGAAAACGACAACAACTAAGCTACTACTGAAGAGTTGTTTTTGGGAAAACAGGAAGTTGGAGCGGCTGTGTTGAGGTTCAATTGGTGTCGACGCAACTGGGTTAGGGATTTGAATTAGTCCTTCGCATGCTTGTTTTCAGGTCCGTGATGAGAATGACAACATTTCGGTGAGGAGGCGGCGTTCCAGCAAGGAAGGCGACGGTCTTGCTGTGGTGGTGTTATTGGTGTCCAAAATGTGAAATTAAAAAAATGGAGAAGATGGTCTTTGTTATTTCAGGCCGAGTATAAACCAAAATCATAATGATCAAAACCACACAAAATATCCAAAATTAAACCACTGATACATCATAAATTTTTTTTTCACCAAAATCACAATTTTTTAACAAGGACGATTTCTCCAATTTTTTCTAAAAAAAATAATTCATTAGTGACCCACGTACAACATTAACCCATAATTTATACAAACATTAAATTTTCTTTATGTGAAGATGTAATAATATATTTGCGCTTGAGCTGAAAAACCATAATATTAGCCCAATTCATGGCCCACTATCCACTCGCAACGGCTAGTTTCGAAATAACGCTGAATAATCACGCTCCTTTCTTCCTAACGGTCACATTTTCCCTTTTGCCCGTTGTTAGAACCCTAAATCGCTCTTAAATCCCCTGACAAATTCTATCTTTTCCCCACTCAGTCGCTCCGATTTCTATTTCTTTTCTCTGTAAATCGAATTTCCGGTGATCATTTCTTGATTAACTCGAAAGAAAAAGGGTTAACAATGGAGACACCCCAGTCATCACGAAGAATCACAAGATCACAAGTTAAGACTATGGCTTCCGAGAACAGCAACAGCAACAACACCAGTGTAACCATAGCGTTGCGTGAGTTTTCTATCGTAATTTAATCTCGTTTTTCAATAATTACTCAAATGGGTTTCGTGTTTTGATCTTTTCGTCTCTGTTTTAGGAGATGAAAACGAAGAATCGATGAATGCTGTTTCGAAATCAAGACAAAAAACCGGAAAACCTCAAGAAAGAGAAAAGTCTGCGTTGTTTGATATAACAAATGGTTCACCAATCGTTGGGCTTGCAATGGGGAGCTTAAAGACTCCATTATATTCGAAGAACAGAATGACGATTTCCAATTCCGAATCAAAACATACTACAACTCCTGGATCTGGAGAGTCTTTATTGAGAGGTCAAGTGAAGACCCTTTTGCAAAAAGTTGAAGAAGAAGGAGTAATCTCAAAGATTTGTTTTGAACATAATCCTTTGATTCATAAACGTTTTATCAACTCTCCAATGGCTGTTCTTGCTCCAACACCTGCTAATACGCCTCAAGTTTATGACTTTTCAACTACTAACAAGAACGTTTTGGACTCTTTTACAGTCTCTCCTGTTGCTGAAAACTTCAATTTTACTCAGGTTTGATTCATTCCCTAATCTTTATAACTGTTCATTAGATTATTTGAATTGGGTTGTGTTAATTGGATTTTCTTTCATTGATGATGTGTTATATAGATGCTTCAAGATGTAATTCGTTCACCAAATCAAGAAGACAATGGTGAAACGGTTACAAGGTCACTTTTCATGGATTTCTCAGAGAAATTTGAAGGTTCTGAGGATTCATCAGTGTGGTCGGTTCAAGTGAATGCAAGCACAAGTGATGAGTGTAAAGATGGTGATGATGATGGGATGGATGAGATTTGTAATGGGATTAGGAAGATGAGTGTCAACAATGGTGTTAAATTCAGCGGAAAACACATAAGGTTTGTGTACAATAGTGATGGGGACGTGGAAGGAGAAGTGGAGTCATCATCACCACCACCACCATCATCATCATCATCATCATCATCATCATCATCATCATGATCAAGAGCATGACATCATGTGCTTGAATTGAAGAAGATAAGAGGGGTTTAGTTTGATTTTTGTGAATCTATAGTGTAATATGTTGATGGCTTTGGTTGTCTTTCTTATGACACCAAGAATGCTTTAGTTTTTGTTTTTAAGGATTGATGTTGAATTCTTATTGTCATGTTTTGAAAGTGTTACCGATTGATTTTATCAATTTAATGAAATGAAGTGTTGATTAATAATCAATTTAACTTTTTTTTTTTTTTAGAATTTTCCAAATAACCACTTAAAATCCCTTGGCCAAAAAAATATCGAGCCCCCAATAATTGGAATTTTTTTTAGAATTTTCCAAATAACCACTTAAATTGGAATTTTCTTTTCACTCTTTTTAAACTCGAAAATGATCTCTGGAAAACACATTGTCTTTGAAAGTCAAGCGGTAAGAAATAAAAATACAAATTCTCATATAATATTTAGTTGTTTAACTTTTCCGGTGAAAGTTTGTTGTAGACTAATCTTGTATTATATTCTATATTAAAAAGGTTAAATTATTATAGGTGTCTGTGCAACACTATCTATCATCTTCTTAAATACAAATGTGTATACCTCTTAAAATGATGAATTGACAACTCCACCATCTAGATTAAATTGATTCTACTTAATTTTGTCGATCTTTCTGATAGAACTGTTTCTCTTGATTTGTTAATTTTTCTGTTTAACAAAAACTCCACCATTGGTCTATTGTAAAGATTCAAAAAGTAAGAAAAAATAAAAAACCAAATTTATTAAAATTCGTACTACGAATCTAACATTTGTACTCCGAATCCGACAACCGTGCCGCGACTTTGGAAAACATACTACAAATCTGAATATTGTATTATGAAAATATAAGAAAATCATGTTTTTTTGTCTAACTTTGAACGACTCTTTCATATGAACTTTATTTGAATTAAATTTTTCATCATTGTGTTCTTTGTAAAAAATGTTATCTATGGACATATCAAACTTAGAAGTTGGAGGTCAAGAAGTCATACATTTTTAGCTCCAAAGTAGTAAAGTTGGTGAAATATATTAAATTTTAGCAAACTTTGAAATTTCATTTTTTTTCATACGAACTCTATTCAAGTCGATTTTTTTCATTGCCATCTTTTTAATAAGAATTACACATGGATATATCGCACTCAGTATTGAATATTGAGAAGTCGTACTTTCTAAGCTCCAAGTATCACTTTTTCATATGAAGCCTAAAATCTATATAAAGAGCCTAAAAACCGTACAAAAAATTTGCCACCTAACACTTCTAAAAAAACCTTTATAAAGACCCTAAAATCATAGAATTTTGTATCAAACTTTCTTAAAACTCATAATTCATAAAGGTGCGTATCTGTTTGAAAAATGCCTTCCTCTTTTCCACCAAGAGTGCAATACTTGTTTTTTAGGTACGATCGATTGACCGAGTTAATTTATTAAGTCTTGGATTTTAGGGATTTTATTGGGGCGCGATGCAGTGAATGATTTGCGCAATGCGACCATGTCATTTAATTCCACGACGTGGTCAAAAATCCTGGTCACGACGTGGTGCCGCCAGAAATAAAAACCGTAATCCCCGAATTTTGGTCATTATTTAAAGGCTCTAATCCTTAGGGTTTTGCCAATTTGAGAAGCCTCCTATAAAATGTCCCTTCATCTAAACCCTAGCCCCATAGTTTGTGTGTAGATATACGTTGTTCTTGTGAATGTGGTCCTTTAATCTTATGATTATTGGAGATTGAATGACTCTAGAATCTTAGAGCAAATTAGGGTTGTTTTTTGGGACATTGAGTATGAAAAAGTTGAGTGCTTGCACTCATTCCAACCTACACATGTCAATCTGATGATTTTGGTCCTTTAAAGAGTTAGGGTTTTAGATCTAGATTGATTGGACTTGGGAAATGGATAAAGTTGGAAACTTTATCCATGCTAATCACTTAAAGAATCCGATATGAGCTTTTAAACTAAGGACCTTAAAGAATCCATGCTAATCACTTAGATGTATGTCGCAACACGATGCTTTATGTGACACTATGCGAGCCATGATGAACAATCATGATTATTTTAGTGCTTAGTGGTTGCTATGCGAGGACCAGTTGATCCTTGAATTTGATTGTCGACCGTTGATTGTTGACTTTTGACCAGTTTGAATTTTTATCAAATTGGAGGTTTAGAGCTGTAGGTTTACCCTTTGATTAGTTTAAGCGGTTTGTGTAGTTGATTTTATGAGACTTAGAGTGTTTGTGATTTAGGTGAGTCTTCTCACTATTTTACTTATGTCATGGTTGGATCCTCTGTATGTTGGATGTCTATGTAATACTATGACATGATTGTATGCTTAGCTAGACTAATAGGGTCTTGCTTGTTTTCTTGTAGGTGTACATGTTTCGTTGGGTTGATGGCAAGAACAGTGTCGTGACACCATAAGCCAAATAGGCCATTGGGTTGATGACAAGACCGATGTTGTAGCATTGTGAGTCAAACAGACTGTTGGATTGTTGGTGAGACTGGTGTTATGGCACCGTGAACCAAATGGGGCGATATTGATATGTACAGTTATTTACTATGGTGTACGTGATATCTTGAGGAGCTTACTAAGCTTTGTTCTTATAGTTGCAGATTTAATATTTTTCAGGTTGTGCGTCTAATAGTTGGAAGGCACTAGCTTGACCGCAATGCATGCGTATATTCTATGTTTATGATTGTAAACTTTCGATACTCTTGATTTTATGATATTGGGTTTCACATGTTATGGTAATTTGTGGTTAAAACAATTGGCACTTTATCTTTATGAAAAGAAAATTGTTGTTTACTTATGATTTTAAAAAGAAAAATTTGGGTGTGAAAAGTGGGACATTACAAGTTGGTATTAGAGCCATGGTTTGAGGGATTCGGATGAAGATTCATGTAATTCCAAACTCAAACTAGGATCTGAGAATTTTCTCAAATTTTCTGAAAAGAAATTTTTTTATAAAAGTTAGAAAAGATACGATGTGTGCAATCATCCAAAGCTAGTGAGGAAAGTTATTCATAAAATATAAATACTTGTTTTATATTTGTTGATATGTGAACTGGTAGAATTGCATGCTAGTTTGTAAGCTAGTGATCTATTCAGGAATTGCATGATAGAAATTCTTGATATATGAGATGTCTTTAGCCTTAGAATTTCTCTTGATTTGTGTTATCTGAAGTCATGCCATGTTGTTCGTTGCTAATTGAGCGCTTTAGAGTTGTACTTAAGTAGGACTGTATAACCTTAGAATGCTTGATTTAGCCTTGCTTCTTTTAACCTGTTTCGTTATGGGCTTAGGGCGTAATGATTTATTCTAATGTATATCCGATCTTTGATTACGTACGAATTTCATTCACGAGGAAATTATCAAAACTAACAGGGGCTTCTAATAATATGAGTGTGGGGTTTGTATAAAAAAGGTTCATAACCTTTCCCCCAAAACATGTTCATCAATCACATTATAACAAACATACAAAAGAACATGTGACATGAGTGTAGAAGAGTCATAACCTTCCACTATTGAGAAAAGCATAATCGGGTGAGCCTCAAGATGACGATCTTGGCTACACCTAGGGTCTTTAAGCAGCAAATTAGAACAAATTTCTCAAAGACTAGCATTAGAAAAGCACAAGGAGTCCACAAAGAAAAGAAATCAAACTAGGGATATCAGCAGACCCTGTATCAATACTATGTGATGGACAACATAAACCATACATAAAGCAACAAAACAAAAGAGTATATGTGGTAGCAAGAAACATTCATACCCAACAATCAAAAGTGAACATTGTCTGTAACATCCCAAAAATACAACCCAAAAATTTTTGTTGAAAACTTTACTAAACCATAATATCAAATATTAAAAGATAAAAAAAAACCATGAATCGTGTATCTCAAATGTCATAATAAATTTATCAAATCGAAACTAGTGTCAAGATCATATCAAAATATCAGAGTCTAACTCCCAGGCTAAACTGTGGTGTGTGCCATGCCATCATCCCGAGCCCTTGCCTTTGCTAGCTGAAGTACCTGAAACCAAAACTGAAACTGTAAGCACGAAGCTTAGTGAGCTCCCCCAAACTACCACATACCATATAATAACATATAAGCACATACTGGGCCTTTCCCACTGCATCGGACCGAAGTCTGGAACTAACTAGGGCCTTGCCCACTGCTTCGGACCGAAGTCCGGAACTGACTACGGCCTTGCCCACTGCATCGGACCGAAGTCCGGAACTAACTAGGGCCTTGCCCACTGCATCGGACCGAAGTCCGGAACTGCATTGGACCGAAGTCCGGAACTAACTAGGGCCTTGCCCACTGCATCAGACCGAAGTCCGGAACTGCATCAGACCGAAGTCCGGAACTGCATCGGACCGAAGTCCGGAACTGACTGATCATAACATAACATAATCATAACATATAATATGAACACATATACTGCATACTGCCTCGGACCATAGTCCGGAACACATAACACATACCATGCCTGTATCACAAAGACACCAAGCATACTGAACTACTGCATCGGACTGTAGTCCAGAACTACTGCTAACTAAAGGGGCCGGCATTGTGGCCGTAGACCCGTTCCTACTGGAAATAAAAGTCACCTCGTAAGGCTGGCTGCTGAAATGCTGCTCGGGAACTGTCTGACTGCTACTCCGGTAACTCCCCGGCTACAATTCCCAAAAGACACTTAATCAGACACTGATAACTAATCTTAGGGTAAAATGACTATTTTACCCCCTGGTCAAAGTCAACAATCCGTTGATCTGACTCGCCGAGTTGGGCCTCCAACTCGTCGAGTCCCTATCTTTCCTTCTACTCCTCTTCCCGACTCTACTCGTCAAGTTTAACCAAAGCTCGACGAGTTCTCCTTCTTTACTGATATCCTGCCATCCTTCATCCGACTCGCCGAGTTGTATGAACAACTCGTCGAGTTCACATTCAACATAAGAACACGTCCAGTCTGTGA